GTGATATTTCAGTTTTTCTTTTTTAATAAATCTGCAAAAATGTCAACGATTCTGTGTTTTTCTGTCAATATGGGGTGCTGTGTGTACATTAATGAGGAAAAAAAATTAACTTAAATGATTTTAGCAAATGGCTGCAATATAACAAAGAGTGAAAAATTGAAGGGGGTCTGAATACTTTCCGTACCCACTGTACTTCTTTATTTGTCTGAGCTTTCCTGATATCGGCTTCTAGGCTTAAAACAGCATCCATTGTATTCCGACCAGCCCTAAATCCACTCTGATATGGCGATATAAGACCTTTTATTTCCAATATATAATTTAGTCTATGTATGATCATTTTTTCCATCAGTTTACATAAATTAGAAGTTAATGCAATTGGCCTATAATTAATTGGATTGGATTTGTCCTTTCCAGGTTTGCCTACTGGTACTATTATTCCATGTTTCCACGAAGAAGGAATCTTTCCTGCATTCCATACCTTGTTAAAAAGATTTAAAATAATTTTTAAGGATCTATCTGATAAATGTTGAATCATTACATAACATATATCATCTCTTCCAGGAGATGTATGTTTAACTCCCCCTAGAGCCATCTTTAATTCATACATAGTAAATTCTGCGTCTAAAGTGTCTCCAGAAGAACTTCTTTTCATCATCACATCTGGGTGCTGATTCTTGTTCTGGATTCTACACTTTTTAATATCCTCTGAAACATTATCATCACTATGGACTTTAACAAATACTTTAGCCAGCATTTCAGCTTTTTCATTATCTGACACAGCTATTCTTCCTTCATCAGTTTTTAAAACTGGAAGAGTTTGATTTCTATAAATTCCTCCCATTTTCCTAATTGATCCCCATACTTCACTTATGTCAATATCTTCTCCTATTGAATTACACCAATCTCTCCAGTACTTCTTTTTAGCTGCTCGGACTATTCTTCTTACTTCAGCTTGCGCTTTCTTATATTTAATAAAATCTTCAAATAAATTAGTCTTTTTGATTTTTCTGAATGCTTTATTCCTATTATGTACCGCATTGCTACATTGTTCTGTCCACCAAGGAACTGCTTTCCTCTTTTTACATTGTCCCTTTTTTCCTATAATATTATTAGTTACATCATACAATACTTTACATATTTTCCCATTACATTCATCTATGTCTTCCATCATATTTACTTCTGCTACCTCACTTACCTCACTTAAATATGTATATGCTTCCCAGTTTGCTTTATTAAATCTCCATCTTGGAGCTATATGTTCCATTACTTCCATTACACTCAGCCCAACCTTACATAAAATGATATAGTGATCACTACCCATATTATTATCTTCCCAAACAAGTGCAGTTACAACAAACCCTTCCTCTTCTTCTTCTTCTTCTTCTTCTTCTTCTTGTTTTATGGCGGGTGGCATCCAACGTTAAGGTGCATTACCGCCACCTACTATACTGGAGTGTGGACCAGAGTGACTAACAGAACTTTATATAAAAAAAAAAAATAAAAATTATTAATAATAAAAATAACAATTATACTTTATATTCTATTTATTAACCCAGTTTCCCTCAAGAATACAATTAAAGAATTATAATTTCCTGTTTGACCGAGTATTTGCTTTGCATCTAGTATCTCCTGTGGTGTCCTTCTGAATATTTCTCTTTCTGTAATATATTTTTGGCAGTGACATAGAACATGTTCTACTGATTCCTCCTCCTGACAATACTCACACAGATCTGTGGGATGTTTTCTAATGAGATGTATTGTCTTAGTTAGTCTTGTGTGACCCAGTCTTAACCTTGATATTATATTTTCCTCCTTGGTACGAACTTCTTCTTCTTCTTCTAATAACTATAAGACTTCTGGCATTCCATTGCAGAATCGTTAAAAGCATTATTATTATTATGTATTCCACATGTTGTTTGAGTACTAGATTGAGTCTTTGGCATGTCATTTATTTTTTCCAACGTTACACCTGCTACATTCAAGTATCTCTCAGCTGCCCTTATTATGATTTTAATTCTCTCCGTTCTGCTTCACACTGAACTTCACGAATTACTTCTTTTAGTTTTAGATTATTCACAGACTGTGTTCATACCGCCACCTACTGGGCTGTTTTATTTTATTTTCCCAGAACAAAATAGACTAGCATATGTACAACTGTGTCCTTACAGACTGAGACATAGCTACTTAAAAATATTAATACTTAATAATACATTTTACAAAAATATAAAAAAATACAATACAAACAAGAAAATAAATTTTAAAAAAAATTAAATAAAATACATAAACATGATAGGTGGTTAAGCAAAATCAGACTGATTAAACAAATCAAATGATCCTAGCCTTGCAATTTTGCAATCAGGATTATGCTACTGCTGTTAATAATAATAATAATCATAAATCTACAACATTTAGTATATCAATTTAATTATAAATAATAAAACTTAGAATTACTATATAATTGTATACTGTGTAAATAATAATAAGTCCAGTATTCTTATGCAGTTAACACAAATGACTGTAACTTTGCCAGCATAAAAAACCCCAACATGTGCAGTGCCAACAATGCAAGAAAAATCTAGTTTATGTTAGGTCTTTGTGGCCTAAATTTTGTGTAATAAATTCTATCTTGAATCAAACAAATATATTTCTTTCTAAAGCTACTTTTCCACTTTTTGCTCTCCTCATTTAACACAATGATGGCTTTAAATCTTATTTTGGGGGTAATTTCTAAGCCAAATTTAATGTCAGATTAATTAGCGATGTCTTAATTAATTAGTTAATACATAATTAGGGTGAACGCAGATGTGGGCCACTGTTTGTTAAAGGGGTCATATGATGCGATTTCAATTTTTCCTTTCTCTTTGGAGTGTTACAAGCTCTTGGTGCATAAAGAATATCTGTAAAGTTGCAAAGACTAAAGTCTCAAATCCAAAGAGATATTCTTTATAAAAGTGAAGAGTCAGCCACACCTACCTAAAACGACTCGTTCTAACATGCCCCCACATATCTACCTCACTATGTGGGAAGATTTGCATAACGCCGCACAAATGTTCACACAAAGAAAGAAGGCGTAACTTTTATTCTCACTAGTATTGTTGCCGCCGCCATATCCTGAAGACGCTGTGTGCTTCGTTGTGAAAGCGAAACTACTTTGTTTGGTCTTCCAAAAGAGGACGATATCCGCTTCGTCATGCCTAGAGCTGATCCGTGCT